TGCCATTATAAAGTTTGGAAGAGCCAGGAGATTTTGAATATAACTCCAATTTTATTCGTCTGAAAGAAGAAAGTAATTTTCACGCTGACAAGAGAAAACAACTATGGCTTGCAGCAACTATGTTAAAATACCATGTGTGAAATAATAAAATAATGTGTTAAAATAATGTGTGGTCTTATCATTTTGTGGACAAAATCCCCCAAACTTCACCCTGATCGGGAGCTCTATGTAGAATATGATCGCTCATGTGTTTTCAATGCAACTAACCTCGGGTCACTTAATGTCATCTTCCCACTCCTTCAACTATGATAGGTGAGTTACTGCAAAAAGACGGTCACTGCAACACTGTAAAGTGATGAAACTATGGTGCCATGTACTTTTTAAAACCATTTTCATAGGTTTAACGTTATATTATTGGCTCGGAAAATACGTTAATTTGACTAGAAGCAATGTAAAGAATCATTCCAGAACGAGTCTTTTTCCACGTTCAGGAACAAGGTGGCTATAAAAGAAAATAGCACAAGTTCTTTGAAATGTCCAGCCTCTACTTCCTGTTTCAACAGAAAATATGGATTTACAATGAATAACGCGATATATTTACTCTGTTTCTTACACTATGCTATTGTATGTCTTCAGAAGACTTGGAATAGACAGCATGAGTTAGTGGTTCAACGGATCACAAATCTCACGGTTCGGATCACATTACAGGTTTTTGACCCACAGATCGGATCATTTTTCGGATCAGCAAGAAAATAAAAATATTTCAATTTAACTTGCTTTCCATTTATTACTTAACTGCTTCCGTGTACAACTGTTGACGCAAGCTAGATTAAAGTGATTATTACGTTTTGAATATGGATATTTTTCTTACAAAAACGCATCGATTCGCTACATAAGACCTTTGTTCACCCCCCGGAGCCGTGTGAGACACTTTTTTATGGATGGGCGATTTTTATTTAACTTCTTTTGGACTGAAGCAATGCAACACCCGCTGAGTGCCATTAAACAGCTTGAAAGATCAAAGACAATTTTGAATATAATTCCGACTGGATTCTTCTGAAAGAAGAAAGTCATATACACCTAGGATGCCTTGGGGGTGAGTAA